GCAGAACGGCCCCAAGCATTACGATATCATTCGGAGGGTGCAGGAGGACGAGGAGGCAGTGGAGTTAAACGTGTTTAAGATCAACAGCAGAACTTACTACTGACTGGAATACGACGGAGGACAGACAGCACAAGTATGACGGTTAATTGGGTTTATACAGTTACGACGGGTACGCGCATGCGACAGGGGAGGGCATTATTACAGGACGGGGCGGGGCAAAGCACCATTGCAGAATGATGAAATGGCAAGGGGGTGGGGACAACAGAGAGCACAAGAGGTAGGCTGCGTAGGAGGTGAAAGTACTGTGACGGACATTGCTACAGAGGAGGGGATCTGGACACCGAGCCAGGCACCGACTTCGCACAACAGGCTTTCTGCAGTTGCGGTATTTTGCTGGCTCGCCCGCTCGCTTAGCACCAGCTTGTCCAGGGATGCCTCAGATGCTGCCAGCGATCGAGGAGGCGCCAGTGTTTCGCGGAGACACCACGGACAACCAAGTCATTGGAGACGAGGCGTATGTGATCAAGCCCCAGGAGACCAACATCCAGAAGTGCGCGGACACGATGGCGGACCTCAAGAAGAAGCTAGAGATGCAGATCGAGGTGCTGCTTGCCCAGAAGAAAGTGCTGAGCCAGAACTTGGCGCGCAGCCAGCAGGTGCACAACGCGACGGCGGAGGGGGCGTTCATGCTGACGGAGAACATTCAGACCCTGGCCGACCAGATCAAGATCATCGGCGAGACCACGAGCGCGCTCATCACAGCACACGGGTCATTGGCATGGAAGTACGACACACCATTGCAGATGGCATCGACTAAGGAGTATAGCAAGCTCCAGCTCGACGAGAAGGAGGACTTGCAGGGCCCGGTCATGCCGCAGAAGATGAAGGGGGCCATGTTCGAGGCGAAGAGCGCTAACAACGGCACCATCCAACCGTGGAGGGCGGACGACCCGAGCTCGTGGATCTTCTACGGGTGGACGCCGCCAAAAGGAGGAATCCCAGCGTGGAACAAGGACGACCCGAAGACCTGGACGTTCTACGGGTGGAGAGAGCCTAGGAAGCGGGCCGACTACACAGAGGGCAAGAGTTCCAAGCCAGAGACGCCAGAGGAAGTAATTCCACAGAGTGAAGCGACGGCATCAGCATCGAGCGACGGGCGCAATGCGCCGATCCCAGAGTCAGAGGAGGGCCAGCAGTAGAGGAGAGCATAGAGTGAGGAGGAGAGGCACATCCTCACTGAGAGGCCGTCGCGCAGCTCCATTGCATCTCCGCACGGCCGTTGACCGTTGAGAGGCTGGCGATCGCAAGAGAGAGAGACATTGACACAGTCATGTGGGGACCACGGAAACATAGGCCATGACTGCAGGGATTGTGAGTGCGAGGACACGACTACTGGTCAGCCCCACTAAGGTCAGCCCCACCACTGGTCAGCTCCACTTCTGAGGTTTCTGCACCGTTCCACCCCGTCTAGTGTTCTTTATTTAGGAGTAGCAGAGTTTCGAGGCGGTGGGGGGGGGGGGGGCGGGCCAGGGGGGGTCGTTTCGTTTCGCGCCGCCCCGCCCCCGCGCGCCCGCCAGAGAGCGCGCCGCCGCAGGAGGCAGGCGCCCCGCGGCAGCCCCCCCACCTCCCCCCCTCGGGATCTCGCCTCGCGCCGCCCCGCCCCCGAGCGCCCGCCGGAGAGCGAGCAGCCGCGGGGGGCAGGCGCCCCGCGGCAGCCCGCCCACCTCCCCCCCTCGGGTCGTGTGTGTGAGCGTTGTGTGAGAGGGTGTTGTGCGTTGTCTGTCTCGTGCATGTCCTTCATGCCCCTTGCCTTGGAGGGGGCGCACGTTGCTAGGTAAGTAGCCTGTACCCCGCTCCCGAAACTGAGAGCAGGACGCGATAGCGCCCCCTGCGCGCCCCCCCCCCCCCCCCCCTCGCTGCGCGCCAGGGGGGCGCGCCCCAGGCAGGCCTACGGCATCAAGCGTAGGCCCCGCATCCATATTGTCTCGCAGGGATATTATAAGGTCTTGCCCCGCGGTGCCTCGCGCCTGTCGCGGTTAGGATCGAACTCATCCCCTAAGCGCCTTTACCTTCTTTTTTTTACCTCCTCCTCCTCCTCCTCCACCTCCCTCGTCCTTCTCCTCCTCCCCCTCCTCCTCCTCCCCCTCCTCCTCCCCCCCCCCTCTGGTCGTGAGTTTTCGCCATGCTGCATTTCTGTCCGCAGCGTCGGATCCCTGGGGGAGGGAGGGAGGAGGCGTGCGCCGCTCTGCGGCCCAGACCTCTTCCTCGGTCTTCGCTGCTGTCGCCCCCTCACCCCCTCTGCATCCTTTTCTCCTTCTGCTCTCCACTGCGCGCCCCCTTTTACTTCGGATGCAACTCCTGGGAGATCGAATCCTGACTTTGCTCTGGCCCGAATCCGGCTTAATCCCGCTTTATATGGTTGAATCCTTCTTTGTCTGGTTCAAGCCCGCCTACTCCGCAGCCGAATCCAGCGTTGCAGCCCCCCGGTGGGGCTTAATCCTCCCTAATCCTTCCGACGAAGACCTCCCAGCAGTTGCGTCCTAATTTCATCCTTCCCCGTATCCCTCCTCCTCTTTCTCCCCGCTGGGCGGGGCTCGGTTCTCGTTTTTCCTGCCGCATTCGTTGCCCTGGGGGTGGGGGCCACGCTGGGGGGTCTTCGGTGGAGCTCCCTGCGAGGCCACGAACAGTGCGAGGGGTGTGCCAAAGTGAGGGGGGAGCCACGTTGGGGTGTCTTCCTCTCCCTCCGTCCTCTCCCTCTCTGTGCCTCGCTCTCTCCCCCATCCATTCTTTTCCCGGCCTCATGCTTTTTGACGCGGGTCAGGTTTTATCTTGGGCGCTGTCTCCTCAAAACGAGGACCCAACTCAGCACAGGATGGTTCGGGAAAAACAATGCGAGGCCGACTCAGGGCGACGAATTACAGGAGGCAGGGCGAGCGCACTTGGAAATGGAATGGCGACACAGGCAAGAAAAATATGTAGGCCCGAAAGGGCACCGAGGATGCACTCGCTCTGCAGTACATGAGGAGAGGCAGGCCGAACACACTGGCAGTGGCCTCGCCCTGGGCACGCGCGACCATGGGGTAGGAATCCGTGTATCTCGCGCGCGGGCGCTAGCTCCACCAGGAGATCCGACGTATCGGAATTACCCTTACGAAACCCCCGGCCACGTGCAGTTGTGAGTGCCGCCGTTGTGAGAACCGCCTTTGGTGAAGCTCCCTGCGGCGCCACGAAGCGCGTGAAGGGAGCGCCGAAACGAGGCGGGGCCGCCATGCGGGCGCTGCTGGTGGGGCCGCCCGCAGGGGGCGCGGAGACGCAGTGAGGCGGGTGGCGGCATGCGAACGCAGCTATCGGAGCCTTCGGTGGAGCTCCCTATGGGGCCAGGAAGCGCGCGAGGAGTGCGCCAGAGTGAGGGGGGGGGGGGGAGCGGCATGCGGACGCAACCACTGGGGCCTTCGGTGGAGTTCCTTATGGGGTTGCAAAGCGTGCGAGGGGCCTGCCAAAGTGAGGGGGGCGGCGGCATGCGAACGCAGCCGCTGAGTCCTTCGGTGTAGCTCCTGCGGGGCCACGAAACGTGAGGCTGGCGGGAGCAGGTGGAAGTAAAACGGCGGCGGGTCCGAAGGTGGAAGATCGGCGAACATGGAAACGAAACGCCCGCATGCCTGGAACCAGGGCTTCTACTGTCAGGAGGGGAACACACACACACACACATAGACACAATGAATCGTCGACTCCCAGGAAAAGATGGGAAAGTATAGGAAGCGGGGGGAAGACGAAAGCACAGAAAGTATTGGAAAGTATATGGAGTTTTGAGAATTGTGTCTATGTATGTGCGTATCCCAGGTCCCCTTTCTGTTGCCCCGTCTCTCCTGGAGGTGTGGCACACCAGGCGATGTCCGTTGGGCGGGGATCGCGGTTTGGGGGTGGGCATTTCGGGTTGCACTTCGACCCTTCCCTTCATCTGTGAATACATACACACTGTAGACAACACACACTCTGTGGTAACAAAAAAAAAAAAAAAAAAAAAAAAAAAAAAAAAAAAAAAAAAAAAAAAAAAAAAAAAAAAAAAAAAAAAAAAAAAAAAAAAAAAAAAAAAAAAAAAAAAAAAAAAAAAACTGACAAAACACACACTGTGGTTTTTGCATCACAGTGTGTGTTTTTCTTCCACAGGCTGTGTGTGTGTTTTTTCCTACTTTTTTTGTCCACAGAGGTGTGGCACACTAGGTGGTATCCGTTGGGAGGGATCGCGGTTTTGGGGTTGGCATTTCGGGTTGCACCTCGACCCTTCCTTTCATCCTCACCGTCCGCCGCCCGCGGCCCCGGCGGTGGCTGAGGATGGAGAGGCCTGGACAGGGCCGCGCATATTCTGCACGAGGCCATAAAATATAATGAATGAATAGATATATATATATATATATATGTATAAATGAATATATATATATATATATATATATATATGTATATATATATATGTATACATATATATATATATATATTCTGCACGAGGCCATGTTAGCATGGGGGAAGCGGGTCCTGAGGGAAACGGGTCCTGGACCCCAGAGCCTTCCCACAGGACCATTTCTCTTCACCCTGAGCCGTTTCCTGCAGGTCCCGGGGCCGTGCAGGGCCCCGAGGGCCCGAAAGCGGCGAAAAAAAAGCCAGGGCCTGCCTCCCTCAGGACCTCAGCTGCGCTGATGCGCACGTTTGGAAACGCAGCACGTGCCGTGATCAAAACGTCCGTGCTTCAAAGGTACGTGTTCAGTCTGCGTGTTGCGCTCCGTATCAATACGCTACCTGCTGCGTGTTGCATATCGGGGCAGCTAAGCTCAGGACCCGTTCCCCCCCCGGCGAACATTGGCTCTGCCTTCTTCCCGCCCGCCGTCGGGTCGCTTCTAGCTCCAACGCGCAGGCACCACGCCTCTGCCGTGAGCCGCATCTACACAGGCAGCGAGCGAGAGAGAGAGAGAGGAGAGGCAGAGAGCGTCGGCGTGCGCGCACGCGAGGCGTAGATCGAGCGCGCCCTCGGCGGCGAATTCGGCGTCCGGCTGATGGACGCAGGTGTCGCCCCTTCTTCGCAGGCGATGTGTCGCCCCCCATCCCCGAGCTCTGCCCGAAAAGCTTGACCGCTTAGAAAAATGTGGAGACCTTGGGCTGCACCCCAAGGGGGCGATTCGGACGCAAACCTGTCGAAGATGCACGCCACCCTTCGTATAACCCCGTGTTGGGCCCCAAATGTTTCAGTCTATTCGAAAACCCCACAAAGCTTGGGATAGGGGTCGATATATCCCCTCTTATATCTGTGCCCATAGCCCAGGCAGGAGGACATTCCTTCTCCTCGTCCTCCTCCTCCTCCTCTTCCATCCTTTTTCCCTTATGAGTTACTCTTCCCTGTCGCGCCCCCAGGCGTGTCCGCAGGGCTGGCTGGGCGTTCCGCATGAGACTTCCCCACTATGTATGATCCTGACGCTTGAGGTTTGTAACAGCTTCACGGATGGAGGGGGGATGGTTCGCAAAATGTGGGTCTCGCCTCTTGCGCCGCGCACATGCGTCAAATGTTTGAAACCGCTTTGCGGATGGAGGGGCGGGGGGCGTTTGCAAAATGTGGCTATTGTTTGCGCGCCACGCACATTCGTGTTCAATGTTTGCAACAGCTTCGGGCATGGAGGGAGGGCATCTTCAAAGTGCGGTTCTCGATGTAGCGCCGCGCACAGCCGTTTTTAAAGCATGCATTCGCTCCAGGGATGGATGGTGGTTCCCTGTCTAACTGCGATTATCTCATCAGTGCCGGGCGCATTCGTTCCAAAAGTTTGCAGCAGCTTCAGGGGGCGCGTTTTCAAACTGTGATTCTCGCGCCCACTCCGCGTGCACTCGTTTTAAACGTGTGATTCACTTCACGGATTTACGGGGGGTCGTTTTCACAATTTGCTTCTCGCCATGGTGCCGCGCAGGTCCGATGTAACATTGGGACGGAGGGGTGTTGTTTTGAAAGTGGCGTTTTCGCCGAAGCGTCGCGCACACTCGTTTTGCAAGCCCACATTCGTTGCACGGATGCAGGGCGGTTCCGTTACAAGGGGGCGTTCTCGCGGCAGCGCCGCGAGCATTCGTACCAAAATCTTTCAGCATTTTCCAGGATTGAGCGTTGGCCGTTTTGCAACTGGGGCTCTTGCTTCAGCGCCGCGCGCATTCGATGTTGAGTGCAACTCTTGACAGGGTGAGGGGGGGCTGCTCTGTTTCAAAACGGAACTTCGACGGAGACTTCGTTAAGTTTCAACACCCGAGACTTCAACGCACGCAGCGCTGCGCGTATCCATGGCGGCTTCCCTTGAATAGTGGATCCGCCGCTTGAGAACTCCTCAGAGATCATGACCACAATTGTACACGCGCGCAGCAGTGACACGGACGGGGGGGGGCGGGCCTTCTTCGTACGGGCGATCTCCGTGGACACCTCGCTGCATTGTTTGTCGGGTTCTGACTTTCGCGCCAAAAAGGTGCAACTCAGTTTCTCTTCCAGAGCGGAGCCCTCACCAAACTGGCAGGCCCAATTGTGAATGGGGGGGGTGGGGGGGGGCGTTTCTTGCAGTGGCAAGGAGGCCTTGTAGGGGCGCATGAGGAAGGGGCTTGAGGCGGGAGGGTGCAATGCAGCGCAGCATCACTTATGCATATTTGGTTTACTCTGGCCCTCCTCCTCTTCCTGCACAAACACAGCGTCGGAGGGCCGCGCGGGTTTCTTGATCGGCGCTGGGCGCCCCCGGCGGCGCGTCCAGCGCCGCCCCTGAAACGCTCCGCGCACCAGGGGAGGGGGCCCAGCACTGGTCCAAGAAATCCACGTGGACTTCCGAAAATCGATGTGCGTTTGTGCAGAGTCGTTTTTTGTTGGTTCTCTCTTTTTCTCTCTCAATATTTTTGCTGTGGTTTGTTCTCTCTCTCTCTCTTTCTCTCTCTCTCTCTCTCTCTTTCTCTCTCTCTCTCTCTCTCTTTCTCTCTCTCTCTTTCTCTCTTTCTCTCTCTCTCTCTCTCGCTCTCTCTTTCTCCTGGCCCGCCCGCCGCCTGGCAAGCGTCCACGGTAGCCTTCCGCCGCTGCGGGTCCTCAAGGGGTGATGGATGGACGCCGCCACTGTCAGCGAGGCACCGTCATGCCAAAAGCGGGTGCAGGCCTCGCGTTGCCTTACAGGTGAGACCCAGACGGCAGCGAGGCAGGCGTCACAGCACAGTGCTGTTTTTAATACATGCTCCGCGTGCGGATCATGTATTAAAAATGCAGGGATTTTGTATCAAAAACAACGATGCGTTCATGCACAAATTTACTCATAAGTTAATCATGTATTAAAAATCCCATATGTTTAAAAATCCTATGTATTAAAAACTACCCCGTACACCCTTGCTCATGTTGGGGGGGGTCCCTCTCGCCCCCTCCCTGGCTCTCCTCCCCAGGCCGTCCGCCCCAAGACGGGTGTGAAGGGCCCCCTGTTGCCGAAGCGCTCCGGCCTGAGAGCGGCCCGGCGGCCTGCAGATTTGTTTGTTTGTTTCCCCCCCTTTTTTTTTTTCTCTCTCTCTCTCTCTCTCTCTCTCTCTCTCTCTATATATGGATATATATATATATATATATATATATATGTGTCGTCTTTTGTTGTTTCACACACACACACACAAACACACACACATTCTCTCTCTCCCTCTCTCTCCATCTTTTTATGACTCCCTCCGTCCCTCCTGCCGCCTCTTTCCCGAACTGTCTCTCCTCCCCTCCCTGCTCCCCCTCCTCTTGTCTCCCTCCCCTACCTCACCTCCCCCATCCCGCCTGCCCCGCCTCTCTCCCGGCCTCCTCTCCCCACCTCCTCTCTTTCCTTTTCTTCCTTGAGCTCTTAGATTTCAGGTATTCTCTAACTTGTACGAGACAGCGTGTTAGAAGGAAGGGGGGTGTTACAACAATGGGCGTTGAACTCAAGTTGGGATGTGATTGAGCTCTTTCTCCTCTTCCACCTCTCCCCAAGACCGTCGACGATTCGCTTTGGCTCCACCTTGTGGGCCCAACCCCCTTCCTCCTGGACCAGCCTTTCAGCGCGAATCATTCTTGTTTGGCGACACCGCAGGCCAGAAGCAGCCTCCAGACGCAAAGCGCGACGAAAAAATGCAGCACGAGTCGTCGGAGCCTCCAGAAGATCTTGTCGAGCCTCCAGGCATATGGACGGCCTCGGGAGGCCCCAAGAAGCTTCAGCCGAGGTCGCCAGCCTCTAGAGGTACAGCCACAAACGCACAACTCTCCGAAAACCTCGATGCCCGATCTGCCTCGTCCTCGTCCTCGTCGTCGTCGTCCTCGTCGTCGTCGTCGTCGTCGTCTTCCTGTCTCCGGCTCCTGCCCCCCCGCCTCCTGCATGCCAGCCGTGAGCCACGGGCACTTCGCCTTCTCCCTCCGCGTCGGCCGCCCGACCGCGCACGCTGCCCCGTGTTGGAAACGAGCCCCGCGCCGCCAGAGCGAGGGGGCCGATAGACGCAAGGGGGTGGGACCAGCCGCGCCGCATCGGGCTCGCGAGCCGTGCGAGGCGCTGCCTTGTCCGGGCTGGTGCGCACGAGCGGGCGCCACGTCGGCATCCTCGCGGCAGCGGGCCTCCCAAAGAAGGCCCTCTGCGAAGCATGGCGCCGCGCGGGGTGTTCCAGATTGGGGCGCGCCTTCGGCACGCCCGCGCCTTCGGCGGAAGCGGGCGGAGGTAAAACGGCGGCGGCTGCGCCGGCGGAAGTAAAAGTTGTTACCCCAGGATGTCAAGCAGTGGCGAAGCGTCCCGGCTCGCTTGTAGCCCCACCAAACAATATTCTAAGAACTTCTTGCGGTTTTCACGAAATGCTCTGAGAACAATTCTGGCCGGGATTGTCGTGTTTTAACACATGGGGTTTATGTTCTAGGAACACTGTTTTTCCCAACCATCCTGTGGTGTTGGGTCTTCGTTTGGAAGAGACGGTCCCCGCGTTCCTCTTCTCCTGTTCTCTTCTCCTCCTCCTCCCCCTCCTCCCCTCCCTCCTCCTTCTTCCATGCGTTTCACCCACCCAGTACAGCGTTTCGTGGCCCCATACGGAGCTCCACCGAAGGCCCCAGTGGCACCGCCCGCATGCGTCCGCCACCACCCAGCATAGCCCTTGCTCCCTGCGTTCCACCCACCCAGTATAGCACTTCGTGGCCCCATGGGGAGCTCCACGGAAGGTCCCAGTGGCACCGCCCGCATGCGTCCGCCACCACCCAGCACAGCCCTTGTTCCCTGCGTTTCACCCACCCAGTACAGCGCTTCGTGGCCCCATAGGCGGCCCCACCGAAGGTCCCAGTGGCACCGCCCGCATGCTTCCGCCACCACCCAGCACAGCACTTGCTCCTTGCGTTTCACACGCCCAGTACACCGTTTAATGACCCCATAGGGGGCCCCACCGGAGGAGGTCCCAGTGGCACCGCCCGCATGCGTCCGCCACCACTCAGCACAGCCCTTGCTCCTTGCGTTTCACCCACCCAGTACAGCGCTTCGTGGCCCCATAGGAGGCTCCACGGAAGGTCCCAGTGGCACCGCCCGCATGCGTCCGCCACCACCCAGCACAGCCTTTGCTCCCTGCGTTTCACCCACCTAGTACAGCGTTTCGTGGCCCCATTGGGAGCTCCTCCGAAGGTCCCAGTGGCACCGGCCGCATGCGTCCGCCACCATCCAGCACAGCCCTTGCTCCTTGCGTTTCACCCACCCAGCACAGCGCCTCGTGGCCCCATACGGGGGCTCCACCGAAGGTCCCAGTGGCACCGCCTGCATGCGTCCGCCACCACTCAGCACAGCCCTTGCTCCCTGCGTTCCACCCACCTAGTACATCTCTTCGTGGCCCCATAGGGAGCTCCATGGAAGGTCCCAGTGGCACCGCCCGCATGCGTCCGCCACCACCCAACACGGCCCTTGCTCCCTGCGTTTCACCCACCCAGTACAGCGCTTCGTGGCCACATAGGGAGCTTCACCGAAGAAGATATTCACAATTGCGGCACCCACAACTTAATATGGTTGGGTCCTTCGCCAGGATACTTTGTCTTAGAACATTTT